TGAGTTAGTTCCCTGTGATTTTGTTTTATTTCCAAGATTAAAAACTACTCTCAAAGGCCAAAGATTTGAAGATGTTAACAAAATTATCCATAATCYGACAGAAGAACTGGTAATGATTTTCCGGAAAATAAAGGGGGATTTTTATCCGGAAGAACATAGGAGATGATTATCCTTAAAATAAAGGTTAAGAATTTCTGGAAAATTAAAGGGGATGAWAATCCGAGAAATATAGGGAATGAATCCAAAAATATAGTGGATTATTATCAAAAAAAAAATTGAATAGGAGGTTTGGCGCCCGCAGACAAAAGCTTTTCAAGAAACGAAAATCATTATGAAACAATTTTACATTAGAAATACACAWTAAAATCTGCAGAATATGCTCTAAAGTTTATTAAACCAATAAAACTAATAATAATAATGTCATGAAAGAATTATTATTTAATAGGCACATTGTTAACAAAATATAAAAAATTACTATTCAAAAAAATTTAAGCTAAATTGGTATAAAAAAAAAAATTGAAAGGGAGGTTTGGCGCCCACAGGCAAATGTTTTTCAAGAAACAAAAAAATTTTGAATACATTTTACAATAGGAATACATACTAAAATCTGCAGTATTTGCAATCCAGATAATCGTAACCAAAAAAACTAATAATAATTAAATTATGATTGAATTATTGTTTGAAAGGCTCATTGTTACCAAAATAAAAAAAATTATTACTCAAAAAAATTCAAGTTAAATTGGTATAAAAAAAAAAAAATTGATAGGGAGGTTTGGCGCCCGCAGGCAAATGTTTTTCAAGAAATAAAAAAAATACATACTAAACTCACCCTGCAGAATGTACTTTAAGATTATCAAAACCAAAAAAACTAATAACAATAATTAAATCATGATTGAATTATATTTGATATAAATTATATTTGAWAGCACATTGTTAACAAAATATAAAAATTAATTACCTACTCAAAAAACTAATGTTGAATTTATATAAAAAGAAAATTGGAAAGGAGGCTTGGCAAATGTTTTTCAAGAAACAAATATAAATTTTGAAACAATTTT